ATAAATAGGAGGATGACCATTTTTCTTGGAACACTCTGCACTCTGCGTCCACTTTTCTCTTTTTTGACAGAGACATATTGGGGCAATGAGGGTGCCAAAGCACATAATGTTAAAAGTAGAAGCCGTAATAAATATCACGGGCAAAACAAAGTAGCTCATCCGGACTGGCTGCACGTGCTTGACGTACTTGCTCTGCCCCGGTATAAACAGTTTGCTTGCTTAACACAATTGCTATTGCGCCATCCAGTGGACGCAATTGGAACAGCAGTTTATTTTATTGAAAAATTGCAGTGCATTTTTATACTTTACAAAATCATCTCGCGGGCCGGATTAAACCCGTTTGCGGGCCTGATCCGGCCCGCGGGCCGGACGTTTGACACCCCTGCTGTAGAACTTTGTTCTAAAGCTGTATCCGTACTCATTGGATGCAGTGATCACAATATAGTGCCTATATCCAGGAAAGCCAAAGTTCCAACAGCTGGGCCTAAAATAGTGTATAAGAGATCATACAAAAGATTTTGCTGTGACTCTTATGTGGATGATGTTACAAATATTTGTTGGTCTGATTAATGAGGAGCATCCAGACGCTGCACTTGATGAATTTATAAAATGGCTTCTTCTAATTATTGATAAACATGCACCTGTTAAGAAACTGACTGTTAGAACTGTTAAGGCTCTATGGATTGATGAGGAATTGAAAAACTGTATGGTTGAAAGAGATGGGGCTAAAGGAGTGGCTAATAAGTCTGGCTGCACATCTTACTGGCTGACTTACTGAAAATTGAGAAATTATGTGACTAAACTCAACAAAAAGAAGAAGAAACTGTATTACGAAGCCAAGATCAATGATATAAAGAATGATGGGGAAAAACTTAAGTACTTTAAATGAAATTATGGGCAGAAAGACAAATTCATCGAATCAGATGGCTTATTCATCACAAAACCATTTGATGTTGCCAATTATTTTAATGATTACTTCATTGGTAAAGTGGGCAAACTTGGGCAGGAAATGCCAACAATGAACAGTGAGCCATCGTATTCATGCATAAAAAAACAAATAATGAAAGAAAAGCATTGCAGGTTTGAATTTTGTAAAGGTGGTGTGTGAGAGGTGGAAAGATTATTTTTATCGATCAAAAATGACAAACCTCCTGGCATTGACAACTTAGGTGGAAAGCTACTGAGGATGGTAGCTGACTCTATAGCCACTCCGATCTGTCATATCTTTAATCTGAGCCTAGAGGAAAGTCCGCTACCCAAGAGTGGTAAAGCTGCCTTTACTGGTTCAGCAGACCTTTAAGCTTGCTAGCAGCTCTTAGCAAACTGTTGGAAAAAATTGTGTTTGACCAAATACCATGCTATTTCTCTGTAAACAAATTAACAACAGACTTTCAGCATGCTTATAGAGAAGGGCACTCAACATGTACTGCACTGACACAAATGACTGATGATTGGTTGAAATAAATTGATAATAAGATTGTGGGAGCTGTACTGTTAGATTTCAGTGCAGCCTTTGATATTATTGACCAGGACCTGTTGTTGAAAAAACTTGTGTTATGGCTTTTCAACCTCTGCCATATCATGGATTCAGAGCTATCTATCTAATAGAACTCAAAGGGTTTTCTTTAATGGAAGCTTCTCTAATGTCAAACATGTAAAGTGTGTTGTACCGCAGGGCAGCTCTCTAGGCCCTCCACACTTTTCTATTTTTACCAATGACCTGCCACTGGCATTAAACAAAGCATGTATGTCCATGTATGCTGATGATTCTACCATATACACATCAGCAACCACAGCTAATGAAGTCACTGAAACCCTTAACAAAGAGTTGCAGTCTGTTTTGGAATGGGTGGCCAGTAATAAACTGGTCCTGAACATCTCTAAAACTAAGAGCATTGTATTTGGTACAAATAATTCCCAAAGTTCTAGACCTCAGCTGAATCTGGTAATGAATGGTGTGGCTGTTGAACAAGTTGAGGAGACTAAATTACTTGGCGTTACCTTAGATTGTAAACTGTCATGGTCAAAACATATAGATTCAATGGTTGTAAAGATGGGGAGAGGTCTGTCCATAATAGATGCTCTGCTTTTTTGACACCACACTCCAAAAAGCAAGTTCTGCAGGCTCTAGTTTTGTCTTATCTTGATTATTGTCCAGTCGAGTGCTGCAAGGAAAGTCCCAGTTAAGCTACAGCTGGCCCAGAACAGAGCGGCACGTCTTGCTCTTCAATATAATCAGAGGGCTGATATAAGTACTATGCATGCCAGTCTCTCTTGGCTAAACGTTGAGGAGAGACTGACTGCATCACTTCTTCTTTTTATAAGGAACATTGTGTTGGAAATCCCAAATTGTTTGCATAGTCAATTTACACACAGCTCTGACACGCACACTTACCCCACCAGACATGCCACCAGAGGTCTTTTCACAGTCTCCAAATCCAGAACAAATTCAAGAAAGCGTACAGTATTATAGAGAGCCATTATTGCATGGAACTCCGTTCCATCTCATATTGCTCAAATAAACAGCAAACAGATAAAGCAACACCTCACGGCACAACACCTCTCCCCTATTTGACCTAGATAGTTTGTGTATGTATTGATATGTAGGCTAAGTGTGCCTTTAAAAAAAAAAAAAAAGTTATTTTCTTGTCTGTTAATGTTCTGTATTATTTCATGTTTTGTGTGGACCCCAGGAAAAGTAGCTGCTGCTTTTGCAACAGCTAATGGGGATCCTAATAAAATACCAATGGCAATTTTGACGCCAAACCCACCACTGGTGTGCGTAGCCAAAGAGCTCTATTTTCATGTCATCTGACCATAGCACCAGTTCCAATCCCAGTGTCAATGCCGTTTAACAAACTCCAGGCGTTTACATTTGCTGGATGACATGAAAATAGAGCTCTTTGGCCATGCACACAAGTGGTGGGTTTGGCATCGAAATGAGAATGAATGAGCAGAAAATAACCCCATACCTACTCTAAAATATGGTGGTGGATCTTTGACCTTATGGGGCTATTTATATTACTTGTTAAACAAAGTCTATTTCTCTGAATTATTGGGGCTTATTAGTATAAAATAATGTAATTTCCATTTTTTTTGAGCAGACACTAGCTCATTACTTGAATTATTTATTTTATACAGTCATCTTTGCTCATCTTTATCAAGGATGTCAGTACTTTTGGACCCCACTGTACAGTGTGTACAGATTATTGTTTTATGAGAACAATTTGTGGAGAATTTCAGTAACAGCTAGCTATGTGTGTGGGAAAGGGAGCCACACAGAGGAGGTGCATGTCATGTCATTGGCTAGTCTAAGCCCTCCCTCTTCTGTAAAATGTAGATGTTTTTATTGTATTTCTTCATCCATGGAACCAAATGGGTGAAGAGAAATTGTATGTTATGTGGTAAATGTGAAAAGTAGGCTCATTTACCAAGCACAAGTTTTCATGAGTGTTAATTAAAGCTACACTCCTGCTGTATTTGTGTTTCAGCCCAGCAGCCCCGCTACCAATTGATGGGGCTGAAGAAAAGTAACTATTTTAACATTTACAGAATACTTTGGATGCAATTCAATGATATCATCAATATAGTTTTTACAATTTCTGAAGCTATGCGTTGTTAACGAAGGCACTTGTTTAAAAAAACAATGGAGGTAACATTAGATTTTGAGTTATGAAGGGTTAAGACCGTTTATCTCACAAGCTCATGAGGCAAGTTATGTTATGCAAATGTTATTACATTATTCAAGAATCAGTAGGTATAGGCCTCATATCATACATTTTGGTGACCAAAATCGGCTACAAATATCCCAGATTGCACCATTAAATCTGTAAGCTTCTGGAGTGACAATGTGCTGACAATATTCACTGTGGTAGTCTTGGATCTGGCCTCCCTAGTTCTCATACAATATTGCACTACCCAAAACTTCTGCCCCACCCTTTTTAAAGAATGGATAAGGCCCATGTGATGTGGCCAATGCATAGAGTTAAAGGACACATCTTTGTATCTGTCCCATTATGGCGTCTGTGACGGCACGGGTAGCGCCATTAAGGCTATCTACATTTTGAAGTAGTCCATTTTCTTCATCTTTTGGTGATTTACCACCACCTGCAGTGCTGGCATCCTGAACCAAATCTTGTGTCATTGTTTTATTGTGGCCACTAGATGGTGTTGCTATAGCTTAAAGACATTTACAAACCATAGTTAACCCATTTTGAAGAAGTAGACAATGCTCTGATCATTGGTTGATCGCTCCCACCCATAGGAATCCCCACCCAGTTGACTACTTAAAAATGGTGGAAGGCCTCAATGGCAATGTCCATGATGATGAGTCCTCTAACTAACTCAATGTGCCAATGCCTACATGCCTGGCTGCAATACTGATCAAAGAGCACAGATGTCCTCACAATTCGTTCAGCTCTGCTAGCTTTATGAACCAATACATCAACAAACAGACCGTTAGCTTCAAATAGTATTACTCTACAATGCAAGTCATTGTGCAAATGTTCTGTTTTACATTTGGCACCTGTCAGTGATCTGTGACGATGACCTGTCACACATGGGCCTACATGAACCAGAGATGTCTCTTCTAAGCATAACGCATGACATCAGAGATAGCAAATAGCCACGGCTACACATTCAATCAATTCTTAGAACCATAATGAATAACAGAACATGTTAAAATTGAAAGATATTGTTGAACTAGTTCTATGGTATAAAAACATGTATTTAATTATTAGCTTGACTGTGTCTGTCAGTGTTTTCAGTCCAAATTCAATGTTTGCTTTTAGTGTACTCCCCTTCACCGTATCAATATTACCATCAGCTGACCGATTCTCCCACTGTTTTATGATTGTTCTGAAGTTTTATGGTTGTTGTCAGCCTTCGACTAGTTCTAAATGTTCAAGAGCTCTGAATGATTTTCATGTTTTGTTTCCGCATTTGGTTTAGGCCCCATTTTGGCCCCCGCTGTGTTTTAAATGCTTGCCTTTTGGTCTTGCAGATCTCAGAAATCTCAGAATTCGACCCCTGTCAACATGGGTACGCTCTTGAGCTTCGGCTATTTAGAGGACAAGAAAGAGGAACCCAATACGCATTCATCAAGTAAGTAGCTGTTAGTGACTGTGGTTTGAATTCAAGGTAATTTGTCTCATTGCTCAGAAGCACACCCCCCATTGACTAACTAATGAAATATTGAATGAATATGAAGTCGCGTATTGATTTTTATGGGACAAAATCAGTCAGTACAGATCTACAGAATTGATACAAGGGGCAACGAAGTAGAGTTCCAAAAAACAATGCATGAACCATTCAGACATGATGATATGCATGTCGATAAATCAGTCAGGGGAACATTTTAATCCTGACTTGCGTTGTTAATGCATTGTTATCAGTGATCATGGGATGGGACGGCAAATCAAAACGTGTGGGGAAACACTCAAATGAACCTGTGTGTATGCCTGCAGGTTCCAAGGAGTAGAAAGGAGCAAAGGCAGTGGAGGACGACTGACTCCTCAGTGTTCACCTCCACAACGTTCCTTCACAAGGGTTTGCCTGTTCACAACCGCATATACTATAGGTCAATTAAAGCAGTTAATTTTGGTTAGAGTTATAGCACTCTTGTTATTCTACCTGTGTGTGCTTGTTCCAAGAAGTATACACAATTGCAAAATTAGATTATCCGTTAGTTTGCGCTCACAGACCCGTTCTGTGCCTGAAGTTGTTGCTAATGAACTGCATTTGCACTCTAACACTAACTTAATGTACTAGCCTGAGCTATGCTCTTGTTCGTCTGTTGTAGTAGTTTTTGGAATGATGGTTTGCTTTTAAAAGGTGTCTATGGCTTAGAGGGGCTCCTCTAAAAATGCCTGCTGTTTTGAAGTGTCTTTTTTTTGTGCCTCAGTATGGTTGCTATAAAGATTTCTGTTTAAAAAATAATAATAAATGTTGTGCATGGAAACAGTGGGCGTGTTGTCATTCTCTTTGTGTGCTTAAGGAAGCTCAATGAAGCACTCATCACCATTTCAAATGGGATCTAGACATGTATTTGTTGAAATGTGACCCATAGCCACATTGCTACAGAGACCTGTGATCTCTATGAATTTACGTATACTGTGTAATTGTTCCTTCCTCTTTACCACCGTCATCATAGTAGAAATGTTGTTCTACGGATGTAATTGACACAGGATACAAAATGAATATGCAATATAATCAGACTTTTCCCCCCGTAATGCTTAAATTAATGACTGTAGGATATGCGGCATATCAGAAAAAAGTAGTTAAAATAATGTGATAATATATTTTATTGATACACACGTAGTCAAATATTTGTACACACTCAATTCCTTTCGAACCTGAATGTCATGAGATGGCCAGGATTCTGTGAAAATTACGTAATAATCTAGCTCGTGTTTGAAAATGTGTCAGGACATAGAGATGTGTGTTTATGTAACTATGTAACTTAAGTCATGTTTTTTTTAGAATGGTTGAGTGCACCTGCCAATTTCTTTGGCTTTTTACTATTTCACAAATTTTCAATTGCATGGCCATTTGTATTTTACACAACCTGAAGTAATTCATCATAAAAAATAATTATACATACATTTTGTCGAGTTATGCTCTTTGGATCTGGGCCAGGTATTTGTACTGTGTCTGTCAAAGCATTTGTTTTAGATCAGTTGGAGACCAGACAGTCACTACTCCTCCCTCCCCAACCAATCATTACTGAGAGGTCACAGGGCAAAGCTATATCAGCCCCAGAGGCAGAGACTGCACTTTTATTTCCTTCAAGCTGAACAAGTGAACACAACAGAAAATATTAGCCTTTTAATACAAAAATTAATGTCTAGCCTGAAAGGTATGTATTGCACTTGTGGCTGTAGGTAATATTGTGGCTGTAAATACTGTGTTTATAACATATTGTGGCTCTAAATATTCTGTATATAATATTGTTATAAAATTCAATAGTAATTATTCTTTTTTTATTAATACTGTATTTATTTCAGTGAACAGTGCCTTTTAATCATTATATGTGTTATTGTTTTTACCATCGAGGACCACTTTGGAAACAAGCGTTATAATTAATACTTTCAAGTTATATCCTCTGGGTCCACATTGTACATTTAGTTGTATGCCTGTTACCCAAAATAAATTCAATTCAATTTCTTTTTTAAAAACAGCCATGTCACCTATTTTACTGAACTGTGTGGGAACTGTCGCTGACCATTCTGAAAATAGCGAGTGAGTATTTTTATATTACTTTGAGGTTTCATTACACTACTGGTTCTTGTTCTGCACTAGAGACTTATATTATGCAATTCTCATATGCTCTCATGTCAATGTTTTTACAGACCGGAGGTCCCTTTCAAGAACCCCCAAATCCATGTCAAGAACCCCCACTTGGATACAATGGAAGAGGACATTCTCTATCACTTCAACCTGGGTACCAAGACCCACAACCTGCCTGAGATGTTTGGAGACATCAAGGTTTGTGGAAGTTGCCCAGACAAAATACTTGAAATACCTGATTTCGATTTCAAAGACAGTTGTCTTTATATCTCCCCCATTGCAGTTTGTGTGCGTCGGCGGCAGTGCCAATCGGATGAAGTCCTTTGCCCAGTTCATTCACCAGGAGCTGGCCTTGCCCGGAAACATGGATAATATCACAGATATCTGTGAAGGAACCGACCGCTACTCCATGTACAAAGTGGGACCCGTACTTTCTATCAGTGTAAGTATTGTGCAATGGATACGTCTCCCTCACAAGATAATGGTCTGACTTGACTTTCAATAGCCTGTATAAGACTTTAGAACGTGACAAATGAAGATTCTTTATGTAAGCCAGTGCCTGACACCTTATTTATATAGAGCTTTTCCACCTAGGTGCTCAAAGCGCTTTACAATAGTAAGGGGGGGAACTCACCTCTACCACCACCAATGTGTGGCACCCACTTTAATGATGCACTGCAGCCATTTTTGTGCCAGAACACAGCTAGCATAGTGGAGAGGTGAGGAGTGATATATGCCAATTAGGAATGAGGGGGATGATTAGGTGGCCATGATGGAAATGGGACCAGGTAGGGAATTTTGCCAGAACACTGTGGTTAACACCCCTACTCTTACGATAAGTGCCATGGGATTTTTTGTGACCACAGAGAGTCAAGACATCCGTTTAACATCCCATCCGAAAGACGCCACCCTACACAGGCTGTCAGAACGCTGAGTGTGGATGTGGTGCAGGGAATCAAGCGCAGGAACAAGGGTGTTCGTCAACAGACTTTAGTAATCCAAAAATAGTAACTCCACACAGGTGAAATAGCCAACCCGACCGGGAGGCATGAACAAATTACACACACAACCAACAGTGCGCAAAAACAAGAAAAGGCGCACGCAGTGCGGACTCTCGAAAACAAACAACACGAGAGAGAAAACCCAACAATGGCAACAGCTGACAATAATAATCACACATAACACCTGACCCAACACACAATAACTAAATAGGAAACAAAATCAAACACTAACAAGGGACAGGTGTACAAACAGACAAAACCAAACAAACATGAAACATCGAACGGTGGCAGCTAGTACTCCGGGGACGACGACCGCCGAAGCCTGCCCGAACAAGGAGGAGGCGCAGCCTCGGCCGAAACCGTGACAGTACCCCCCCCTTGACGCGCGGCTCCAGCCGTGCGCCGATCCCGGCCTCGGGGACGACCAGGACGACGCGGAGCAGGGCGCGTAGGATGACCCCGATGAAACTCGGTCAGCAGGGACAGGTCTAATATGTCCCTCCTCGGCACCCAGCACCGCTCCTCCGGGCCGTACCCCTCCCACTCCACGAGATATTGGAGACCCCCCATCCGGCGTCTCGAATCAAGGATGGACCTCACAGTGTACGCCGGAGCCCCCTCGATGTCCAACGGGGGCGGAGGAATCTCCTCTATCTCATAATCCTGGAGTAGACCAGCTACCACCGGCCTGAGGAGAGACACATGGAACGAGGGGTTAATATTCCTGTAATCAATAGGCAATTCTAACCTGTAACACACCTCGTTCAACCTCCTCAGGACTTTGAATGGCCCCACAAACCGCCGACCCAGCTTCCGGCAGGGCAGGCGGAGGGGCAGGTTTCTGGTCGAGAGCCAGACTCGATCTCCAGGTGCGTATACAGGCCCCTCACTGCGGTGGAGATCGGCGCTCGTCTTATGCCGACGGATGGCCCGCTGCAGATGGACGTGGGCAGCGTTCCATGTCTCCTCCGAGCGCCGCACCCACTCATCCACCGCAGGGGCCTCGATCTGGCTCTCGTGCCAAGGTGCCAGAACCGGCTGGTACCCTAACACACACTGGAAAGGGGTTAGTTGGGTGGAGGAGTGGCGGAGAGAGTTCTGCGCCATCTCGGCCCACGGAATGTATCTCGCCCACTCCTCCGGCCGGCCCTGGCAATAAGACCTCAGAAACCTACCCACATCCTGGTTGACACGTTCAACCTGCCCATTACTCTCTGGGTGGTAACCCGAGGTAAGGCTCACCGAAACCCCCAACCGTTCCATAAAGGCTCTCCACACTCTGGAGGTGAACTGGGGGCCTCGATCAGACACTATATCCTCGGGTACCCCGTAATGCCGGAAGACATGGGTAAACAGAGCCTCAGCGGTCTGTAGGGCAGTAGGGAGACCCGGCATGGGAAGGAGACGAGAGGCCTTCGAGAACCGATCCACAACGACCAGGATGGTAGTATTCCCCTGTGAGGGGGGAAGGTCTGTAACAAAGTCCACCGAGAGGTGGGACCAGGGTCGTTGTGGAACGGGCAGGGGTTGTAGCTTACCCCTGGGCAAATGTCTGGGCGCCTTACACTGTGTACACACCGAACAGGAGGAGACATAAACCCTCACATCCCTGGCTAACGTTGGCCACCAGTACTTAGTGCTAAGGCAGTGAACTGTCCGGCCGATACCTGGATGTCCAGAGGAAGGGGACGTATGAGCCCAATAAATGAGGCGATCGCGTACCTCGAGCGGAACGTACGTCCGACCCACTGGACACTGTGGAGGACTTGGGTCGGTGCGTAACGCCCGCTCGATCTCTGCATCGACCTCCCATACCACCGGTGCCACCAGACAAGACTTTGGTAGTATGGGAGTGGGCTCAACGGACCTCTCCTCCGTGTCATACCGCCGAGACAGGGCATCTGCCTTCCCGTTCTGGGACCCAGGGATGTAAGTGATTTTAAACACAAACCGGGCTAGAAACATAGTCCAGCGGGCCTGGCGAGGATTCAGTCTCCTAGCTGCCCGGATGTACTCCAGGTTACGGTGGTCCGTCAAAATGAGGAAAGGGTGTTGAGCCCCCTCAAGCCAATGCCTCCACACCTCTAGGGCCTGTACCACGGCTAACAGCTCCCTGTCCCCTACGTCATAATTCCGCTCCGCCGGACTGAGCTTCTTAGAATAAAAGGCACAGGGGCGGAGCTTAGGTGGTGTGCCTGACCGTTGTGAGAGGACGGCCCCAATACCGGCCTCGGACGCGTCTACCTCTACCTGGAATGGTAAAGCGGGATCCGGATGCGCCAACACCGGCGCCGAGGTAAACAGGTCCTTCAGTCTCCCAAAAGCCCTGTCCGCCTCAGCTGATCACCGCAAGCGCACCGGACCCCCCTTCAACAGAGACGTTATGGGAGCTGCCACCTGTCCAAAACCCCGGATAAACCTCCGGTAATAATTCGCAAAACCCAAGAACTGTTGCACCTCTTTCACAGTGGTTGGGGTTTGCCAATTACGCACAGCTGACACCCGGTCAACCTCCATCTTCACCCCTGACGCAGACAACTGATAACCCAAAAAGGAGACCGACTTCTGAAAGAACAGGCATTTCTCTGCCTTGACATATAGGTCATGCTCCAACAGTCTCCTCAACACTCGGCGCACCAGGGCTACATGCTCAGCTCGGGTAGAACTGTACACCAGAATATCGTCTATGTACACGACTACTCCCTGCCCCTGCATGTCCCGGAAAATCTCATCTACAAAGGATTGGAAGACTGAGGGAGCATTCATTAACCCATATGGCATGACGAGATACTCGTAATGACCAGAGGTCGTGCTAAATGCTGTCTTCCATTCATCGCCCTCTCTAATGCGCACCAAGTTGTATGCGCTCCTGAGATCCAATTTTGTGAAGAACTGAGCACCGTGTAATGACTCCGTCATAGTCGCAATCAGAGGAAGTGGATAACTGTACTTCACCGTAATCTGATTGAGACCGCGGTAATCAATACACGGGCGCAAACCTCCATCTTTTTTCTTCACAAAAAAGAAGCTTGAGGAAGCGGGTGAAGTGGAGGCCCGTATGTATCCCTGTCTCAGAGACTCGGCGATGTAAGTTTCCATCGCTTTCCTCTCCTCTTGAGACAAGGGATACACATGGCTCCGCGGGAGTGCTGCTCCTAACTGGAGATCTATCGCACAATCCCCCTGTCTATGAGGCGGCAGCTGCGCCGCCCTTGTCTTACTAAACACCAGTGTCAAATCCTCATACTCGGGGGGAATATGCAGTGCGGGCATTTGATTTGGACTCTCCACCGAGGTCGCCCCTATGGAAACACCCAGACATAGCCCTCACACTGAACAGACCACCCTTTAAGAGCTTTCTCTCGCCACGAAATAGTAGGATCATGGGTAACTAACCAGGGAAGCCCCAGCACCACCGGATACGCAGGAGAGTCAATCAGATAGAGCTGAATCGTCTCCTCATGACCCCCCTGCGTCTTCATCCTAAGGGGCGCTGTGACCTCCCTAATCAACCCAGATCCTAACGGACGGCTATCTAGGGCATGTACAGGGAAAGGCTTATCAACGGGAAGGAGAGGAATCCCTAACTCTACACAGAACTGGCGATCTACAAAATTCCCAGCTGCGCCTGAATCTACGAGCGCCTTATGCTGGGAACGAGGTGCAACCTGTGGGAAACAAACAGGCAAGGTTATGTGAACGACAGAAAGCTCTGGGTAAGTAGGGCGCCTACTCACCTGGGAGGACTCCCCAATGCGTGGCCTGCCTTCACCTCCACCGGGGGACCTTCCCCAACACCTAGCCGCGGTGTGCCCTCCACGGCCACAGTTGGTGCAGGGAACGGCCCCCCTCGGGTTCCTACTCCTCCGTTCTCTAGCGCCAGCACCTCCGAGCTCCATAGGGCTCGGCTCGGAGGTGCCGGAAGGTGGAATGGGCAACCCCCACCCGGGACGTCCACGGGTGGCGAGCAGGGTGTCCAGCCGAATGGCCATGTCGACCAGTTGGTCAAACGACAACGTGGTATCCCTGCACGCCAACTCTCTCTGGACGTCCTCCCGGAGGCTGCAGCGGAAGTGGTCTATGAGGGCCCGCTCATTCCACCCTGCATCTGCCGCTAGAGTCCGGAACTCCAAAGCAAAATCCTGTGTGCTCCTCATCCCCTGTCGGAGGTAGAACAGACGCCCCCCCGCCGCCTTCCCTTCTGGTGGATGGTCAAACACGGCACGGAAGCGGCGGGAGAACTCCGCATAGGTAATAGTAGCGGCGTCTATTCTCCTCCATTCGGCATTGGCCCACTCCAACGCCTTGCCGGTGAGACAGGAGATGAGGGCGGAGACGCTCTCGTGTCCCGAGGGCACCGGGTGTACGGTGGCGAGGTAGAGCTCCACTTGCAGCAGGAACCCTTGACACCCGGCAGCGGAGCCGTCGTACGCCCTCGGGAGCGAGAGCCGAATCCCGCTGGGTTCCGGAAGGGAGACAGGAGGACTGACCGATGGGGATGGTCCGGTAGGTGGGGGCGTGGGTACCCCGCTGCTCTCCCATCGGTGGAGAGTGTTCATCACCCGATCCAGGGCGTGACCGATCTGGTTGATCCTGTCCTCCTGCCCACGAAGACGGTCCTCCATAATGTCCGTTGGCGCGGTTGCTCCTGCTGATTCCATAGTGTGTTGTGTGATTCTGTCAGAACGCTGAGTGTGGATGTGGTGCAGGGAATCAAGCGCAGGAACAAGGGTGTTCGTCAACAGACTTTAGTAATCCAAAAATAGTAACTCCACACAGGTGAAATAGCCAACCCGACCGGGAGGCATGAACAAATTACGCACACAACCAACAGTGCGCAAAAACAAGAAAAGGCGCACGCAGTGCGGACTCTCGAAAACAAACAACACGAGAGAGAAAACCCAACAATGGCAACAGCTGACAATAATAATCACACATAACACCTGACCCAACACACGATAACTAAATAGGAAACAAAATCAAACACTAACAAGGGACAGGTGTACAAACAGACAAAACCAAACAAACATGAAACATCGAACGGTGGCAGTTAGTACTCCGGGGACGACAACCGCCGAAGCCTGCCCGAACAAGGAGGAGGCGCAGCCTCGGCCGAAACCGTGACACAGGCCAATGGCCCCTTCACTGCCCTGGGGCCATGTGATCTCCTTAGACCAACAGCCAGTCTCATACACTAGACGTAACATACTGTAGTAAATGTCAATCCGGGACACTCAAATTAGTATGATATGTTACGTTTGGGATGGTTACATAAGACAGATGGTTACTTTAAGGCAAAAACTAAGGTAGGTGGTTGGTCGGGGTGGATGGGTGAGCATATAACGCGAACGTCTAGCAACCCAAAGGTTGCGAGTTCGAATTTCATCATGGACAACTTTAGTATTTTAGCTAATTAGCAACTATTCAATTACTTAGCATGTTATCTAACCTTTCCCCTAATTTACCCTTTTAGCTAACCCTTCCCCTAACCCTAACCTTAACCTTAACCTAACTCCTAAACCTAACCTTAGCCAGCTAGGCACCTAGCTAGAATTTGTAACATTTCATACGTTTTGCAAATGTGTAACATATTGTACGTTATGCAAATGTGTACCTTATAGTACAAATTGTAATTCGTAACATATCCTACGAAATGGGTGATGGGCATTCACAAATTAGTACATACCTTATGAAACGTCACTTATCATACTAAATGGAGTATCATAGATTTACGTACAGAATAACACGAAATGCTCTGAGACCAAGTTGAGATCAGAGGGAAGAGTGCCTGCTTCCCACTGGGCAGCTGTATCATGGTGTCGCCGGCAGTAACTAATGTGGCCAAATGTTTTCCTCCAATTATTTTATTCCATGTAGACATTTACATTTACGTCATTTAGCAGACGCTCTTATCCAGAGCGACTTACAAATTGGTGCATTCACCTTATAGCCAGTGGGATAACCAAATTACTATGTTTTTTTTAAATATTTTGTTTATTTTCTTTCTTCTTTTTTCTGTCCTTTTTTAAATATTGTTTATTTTTTAATTATATATTTTTAATTTTTTTGGTCATTTATTTTTCATTATTTTTTTATTTTTTTTATTTTTTTGGGGGGGGGGGTTGGGGTAAGGGGGGGGTAGAAGGATTACTTTAACCTATCCCAGGTATTCCTTAAAGAGGTGGGGTTTCAAATGTCTCCGGAAGGTGGTGAGTGACTCCGCTGTCCTGGCGTCGTGAGGGAGCTTGTTCCACCATTGGGGTGCCAGAGCAGCGAACAGTTTTGACTGGGCTGAGCGGGAACTATGCTTCCGCAGAGGTAGGGGAGCCAGCAGGCCAGAGGTGGATGAACGCAATGCCCTCGTTTGGGTGTAGGGACTGATCAGAGCCTGAAGGTACGGAGGTGCCGTTCCCTTCACAGCTCCGTAGGCAAGCACCATGGTCTTGTAGCAGATGCGAGCTTCAACTGGAAGCCAGTGGAGTGTGCGGAGGAGCGGGGTGACGTGAGAGAACTTGGGAAGGTTGAACACCAGACGGGCTGCGGCATTCTGGATGAGTTGTAGGGGTTTAATGGCACAGGCAGGGAGCCCAGCCAACAGCGAGTTGCAGTAATCCAGACGGGAGATGACAAGTGCCTGGATTAGGACCTGTGCCGCTTCCTGTGTAAGGCAGGGTCGTACTCTCCGAATGTTGTAGAGCATGAACCTACAGGATCGGGTCACCGCCTTGATGTTAGCGGAGAACGACAGGGTGTTGTCCAGGGTCACGCCAAGGCTCTTCGCACTCTGGGAGGAGGACACAACGGAGTTGTCAACCGTGATGGCGAGATCATGGAACAGGCAGTCCTTCCCCGGGAGGAAGAGCAGCTCCGTCTTGCCAAGGTTCAGCTTGAGGTGGTGATCCGTCATCCATACTGATATGTCTGCCAGACATGCAGAGATGCGATTCGCCACCTGGTTATCAGAAGGGGGAAAGGGGGGATTCAGCAGGGAGGAGAATGTGGCAAAGAGCTTCCTAGGGTTAGAGGCAGATGCTTGGAATTTAGAGTGGTAGAAAGTGGCCTTAGCAGCAGAAACAGATGAAGAAAATGTAGAGAGGAGGGAGTGAAAAGATGCCAGGTCCGCAGGGAGTCTAGTTTTCTTCCATTTTCGCTCAGCTGCCCGGAGCTCTGTTCTGTGAGCTCGCAATGAGTCGATGTAAATGTAAAATGTAAAACATGTAGGATAGCAGCCTTCATGAATTATTTTATTGTATTTTATTTGGTAACCATCTGGATGTCACCGTGATACCATCTACTCATTGGGGAGAGCATGCACGGCAAGTCAGTGTTTCACAACACCAGGACAGCACCTGCCAAGTACTGCTTTCCCGCAGTTCTGTTAACCTCACCCATCTGTCTCTACAGCATGGTATGGGCGTCCCCTCCATCTCCATCATGCTCCATGAGCTCATCAAGCTGCTGCATCATGCCCGCTGCATCGATTTCGTCCTCTTCCGCATTGGCACCTCCGGTGGAGTTGGTAAGAGCATCCTCCCCTCTTCCATTCTTCTTTCAAATGTTAATACACATTTATACATGTTTATATAGTTGAGTAAGACAGCTCTCTAAATCATGTCACTGGTGTCCCATTACAGGTCTGGAACCAGGAACAGTAGTGGTCACAGACAAGGCGGTGGACTGCTTCTTCCGCAACCAGTTTGAGCAGGTGGTTCTAGGTAAGGTGATCACCAGGAGCACAGAGCTGGATGTGGGCGTGTCCAAGGAGCTGCTGCAGTGCTCCTCTGAGTTAGATGACGTGCCCACCGTCATCGGAAACACCATGTGCACCAGTGACTTCTACGAAGGTAACCACATCATGTTACCCACAGCTGTACACTCAGCTACACAAAAGCCCTAAATTAAAGCTATAGTCTATGAGTTTGGTTGTTTTTCGAATCGCAGACTGCCCCTTAACTAAGGATGTACAGTACATTTCCAATGCTGCCTACTAGCCTGCTGGCCTTGATCTAACTCAGCCTGTATTCTGTTGTGGTCCACCAGGTCAGGGTCGGCTGGATGGAGCTCTCTGCTCCTTCTCCACTGAGGACAAGCTGGAGTACCTGAGGAAAGCCTATAACACGGGAGTCAGGAATATTGAGATGGAGTCCACTGTCTTCGCAGCCATGTGTTGTGCCTGTGGCATCAAAGGTGTTATTCTAAATACATCACAGTCTCACTAAGTCATGCCATTAACTTTGACAGAGAGAAATAAGTTTGATTTTACTTTGTTTTGACATTTTCTCGTTATTATTTTACATGGTTTTTACATTTGTAATGGATGTAAAAATTTTCTCCCCAGCTGCTGTCGTCTGTGTGACTTTGTTGAACCGTTTCGATGGGGACCAGATCTCCACCCCTCAGGATGTGCTAGTGGAGTACCAACAGAGACCTCAAGTTCTGGTGGCCCACTTCATCAAGAAACGCCTGGGCCTCATCGTCTAAGCTCCCTCCGATCACCTCTGCTGCCCATGGAGTGTATATAGCTAAGGTCCCGACTAATATGTGGATATACACTGAGTGTACAAAATATTTAGGAACTCCTTCGTAATATTGAGTTGCACCCCTTTTGCCCCTGACTGAAGTGGAAATTAACAGGTGACATCAATAAGGGATCATAGCTTTCACCTGGTCAGTCTATGTCATGGAAAGAGCAGGTGTTCCTAATGTTTTGTACACTCAGTGTATGTATATAGTCATGTTGATATGTGATAAGATATTATTTAAAGAGTTCTAAGACTACATGAAGATTTTACAGATGTGTTGTATCGTGTATGATTTGTTTAATGAAGCTCAAAGAGTGGGCTCTTACGCAATTGTGTGGTATATTTGTATGGTATTAGATATTGCGGTGCTTTTGACTACCTTGACTGTATAGATTAAATTGTTGGTTTCTCTGTAACTACACTGAACAAAAATATAAACGCAACATGTAAAGTGTTGGTCCCATGTTTCATGAGCTGAAATAAAAGATCGCAGATATGTTCCATATGCACAAAAATCGTATTTCTCAAAACAATGTTGCACAAATTTGTTAAGATCCCTGTTAGTGAGCATTTCTCCTTTGCCAAGATAATCCATCCACCAGACAGGAGTGGCATATCAAGAAGCTGATTAAACAGCATGATCATTACACTGGTGCACCACGTGCTGGGAACAATAAAAGGCCACTCTAAAATGTGCAGTTTTGTCACACAACACAATGCCACAGATGTCTCAAGTTTTGAGGGAGCGTGCAATTGGTATGCTGACTGCAGGAATGTCAACCAGAGCTGTTGCCACAGAATTAAATGTTCATTTCTCTACCATAAGCCGCCTCCAATGTCATATTTAGAGAATTTGGCAGTACGTCCAACCGGCCTCAACCGCAGACCACGTATATGGCGTCGTGTGGGCGAGCGGTTTGCTGATGTCAACGTTGTGAACAGAGTGCCCCATGGTGGCGGTGGGGATATGGCATGGGCAGGCATAACCTACGGACAATGAACACAATTGCATTTTATCGATGGCAATTTGAATGCACAGAGATACCGTGATGAGATCCTGAGGCCCATTGTCGTGCCATTCATGTTTCAGCATGATAATGCATGGCCCCATGTCGCAAGGATCTGTACACAATTCCTGGAAGCTGAAAATGCCCGAGATCTTCCTGCATACTCACCAAACATGTCACCCATTGAGTATGTTTGGGATGCTCTGGATTGATGCGTACGACAGCGTGTTCCAGTTCCCGCCAATATCCAGCAACTTCGCACAGCCATTGAAGAGGAGTGGGACAACATTCCACAGGCCACAATCAGAAGCCTGATCAACTCTATTCGAAGGAGATGTGTTGCGCTGCATGAGGCAAATGGTGGTCACACCAGATACTGACTGGTTTTCTGATCCACGCTCCTACCTTTTTTTAAAGGTGTCTGTGACCAACAGATGCATATCTGTATTCCCAGTCATGGGAAATCCATAGATTAGGGCCTAATGAATTTATTTCAATTGACTGATTTCCTTATATGAACTGTAACTCAGTAAAATCTTTGAAATTGTTGCATGTTGCGTTTATATTTTTGTTCAGTATACTTGATGACATTAAGTCCTGTGACTTTAAAAAATGTATAAAGGATTTAAAGAAATAAGCTCTCTTCTGACTTTAATTTAATCAAATGTCTCGTGGATCAGGAGTTAGGCACTGGGGTAGCAGGACTATATTTAGAAATGGTTATGCATCTCTGACTTCATTGTACCTGACATTTTAAAATCCTGAATAAATTCAGTTCAGGCTGATATGGGTCCACATCCTCTTACTCAACATGGATTATTAAGAAATGACTAGCTTCAAAATGGAGATGAGACACTAAAGGATTGCAAATTAGGCCAGAAAATAGTCATATTTATCTGAACTTTGCACTGACACGTAGCCCAATCAGCTTATGGTTACAACATCCATGTACACTGAGTCTACTAAACATTAAGAACACCTTCCTAATATTGAGTGGCACACCTTTTGCCCTCAGAACAGCCTCAATTCTTCTGGTCATGGACTGTACAAGGTGTCGAAAGCATTCCACAAGGATGCTGGCCCATGTTGACTCCAATGCTTCCCACGGTTGTGTCAAGTTGGCTGGATGTCCTTTGGGTGGTGGACCATTCTTGATACACACGGGGAACTGTTGAGTGTGAAAGACCCAGCAGTGTTGCAGTTCTTGACACAAACCGGTGCGCCTGGCATCTACTACCATAACCTGTTCAAAGGCACTTCCATCTTTTGTCTTGCTCATTTACCCTCTGAATGGCACACATACACAATCCATGTCTCAATTGTCTCAAGGCTTAAAAATCCTTCTTTAACCTGTCTCCTCCCCTTCATCTACACGGATTGAAGTGGATTTAACAAGTGACATCAATAAGGGATCATAGCTTTCACCTGGATTCACCTGGTCAGTCTGTCATAGAAAGAGCAGGTGTTCCTAATGTTTTGTACCCTCAGTGTATGTTACATAGTCAAATGAGCAACTATATACAGCTAAATAACATACATGAAAGGTTTGTCATAATGTCAGGCAGTTGTTATCTAACGTCACAGTGGCATGAAACACAGACATTCTGTGTTAAATTATGTATCAGATATTGATAGATAGCGGAAGGAGGCGAATGAGTAATACTGCGAGGAATATGTTAAAAGTTGAGCCAACATGGTCTGTATTGACAATCACAGAAGTAACCCAAAGAAGACATTCTGACAAAAATCTGTGGACAAATATAACATTTAATCTATATTACCTGTACCTGCAGCCAGTTTCCAAGTTGCGTAAAAAACTATTCAACTTCAAATCAATACAAACATGCTCTGTCACTGGCCAGGGAAAATGTTATTTACATTATGACTTATTCGGGACACCTGGTTAGCGTTAGTTATTTTGATTGAATAGGGCTAAACACTCTTTGTAGAAGACTTGAATCCGATGGAGTCAGTGTCCCGTCGAGGTGGTCTGGGTGGCTGGACTACAGAGAGAACCTCCTTAGCATACAGTGTGTTGTGGAGTCCTGCTGCCCGGAGGGCCTGTTCAATCCTCACTCTTGGATCAGACACAATCTGGAAACCAACAGAGGAAATGGACATAGGGATCTGGTCAAAAGAAGTACACTATATTGGGAATACGGTGCCATTTGGAACGGACACATTGTAAGGTCCAAAAGGCATAAAAACAGATGATAAGGACGATTCTGTCACACCCTTGTTCATTCATTTTTATGATATTTTGCAATTCTAAATCAAACATGTTTTCGTGTTTTTCCTAACATTAAACCAAGGTCAGTTAGTCATTGATCACGTTTTCAATTGGAGGAGATGATCTAACTAACCGTCACCTGACCTGATTATGCAATAGACTGCAGGTAAAGCCAGTGTGCTTTCCTGCACAGTGGAGTCGTGACACAATGTACCAGACAGATGTACTGTATGTTAATTCACCCACAGGCCTTGAGGGGAGGCCATTTAAAGGTCTGTCTGCATGAGGGTAAGGTTTGTTTACCCAGGTCAAACATTATTGTGAATGTTTTCTGTTTTTTTTATGTCAGTGAGTGAGGCAGTAAACACAAAATATTACATTGACACAAGAGGAGGCTGGTGGGAGGAGCTATAAGAGGACGGGCACATTGTAATGGCTGGAATGGAATTAATGGAACGGCATCAAACATAAACCACATGTTTGACCCCGTTCCATTCATTCTATTCCAGCCACAATGAGCCGGTCCTCCTATTACTCCTCCCACCAGCCTCCTCTGACTGACACATGTTAACAACCTTGGGAACTATTGGAGAGGGCACAAGTCTCATCAAACCAAACACTTAAGGGAAATAATGAGTGGGAAAAGGCAGATTGACTTGTGTTGAGTTGGGAGCAGAAAATAAAGAACAGTGGCAGGTCAGACTCACCTGAGAGTCTGTGTACGTGTTGAGGTGATATAGGGGACGGTGCAACCGAAACTCCTCCTCTCTGCTCTGCTGCGCCAGCCGGCCTCTCCAGGCCTCCGTATCTCCCATCATCCTCTCTGGGTCTGGCTCTGCCACCACTGCCACCTTGACCGTGTGGGGGATGGGGAAAACCCAATTAATTTGATAGCCTAGTAGTTTCCTTGTATTTCCCTATCCCACCAGTAAGTGGCAGTGAAGCCTCAAAACCAACATGGATCAGCGGGGTCAAAAGCGCCCACAAATGTCCCCCGGTGTGGCATTTTAAATGGCAGATACAATTAGGGAAGCCAATGGGAATAAGTGCTGATAAGAGACGTACCTGATTTCTCAGGGCCTCTAGACGACTGCCTCTCTCCTCTTCCTCTTTTAGGCGCTGGAGTGCCTGCGCCTCCCTCTCCTCCCTCCGCTGCAGCAGCGCCTCCTCGCGAAACTGCACCCTGAGGGCAGGAGGGACAGAGAGATGGGAGAGAGAGAAGTGGGCAAGGACATCAGCCCTCATCTCAGGCACCACCGGTCTGTGGTGGCACAGCGGCCCTACAGGCTGGGAGAGCGTTATGGGCTGCCAGAGAGCTGCTCCTCAGTTGTAGCAGAAGCTACAGTATCTCATGTCCTCAGTCCTCCTCACCCTGCCCTGACTAACTCAACCCTGTCTCGCTCTCTTTCTCCTAGCACTGTTTAAATGCCAGGGACTTGAAAGGAGGCTAGAACGCTAGAGAGGACCATGGATAAATAGGAGATTGCACTAAACAGAAGAGAAAACGGCAACTTATCGAATCATACCAGTGGATCCTAAAATTAGATATTTCAAACTAATTCCTCAATTTGTCATGGAAAAACATAAATGACTCCATAAATGACGCACCATTAGAAATAAAGGTGTTTTATGAACATTGTCCAAATAAGCCATAGGGGCAAACAAAGAAGTGTGTCAGCCAGGTGTTGAGCTCTCTCCTTTAGCGGCCTTAAGGTTAAGCTGCTGCCAATGGTGCATGCTTACCTCTCCTTATCTCTATTAGCTTGCTCTGCCATTAGTCTCCTCAGCTCTGTCAGTCTCTGCTGATCTCTCCTCTCCAGCTCCTCTCTCCTCCTCTGTTTCTCTGCATAGTACTGCTTCACCTGAGATATACAGTGAAAAAACATTCACAAAACAAACCAAAAGGTTTAAAAAAATTACTGGAGCAAGCGAGTCAACACGAGGGAAACTTTACTGTCATGTCATCACGTCCTATTGATCGTGACAGTGCAAAATCAGATAAGAGTAAATCAAATGAATGAGATGATATGTCATAGTCAGAGATGACTGTGTAGAAGTATATGTAATCAATTTCAGCCTAAACGGCATCATTAATCAGAGATTCTCCCAGCTTTCCTGTGGTACTGAAGCAGGCCCTACAGGAGGGGTGCAATCAAACAAGACCGGCACCAATACACACCCTGGGGGGATACCAAGGGCCATGTGGGTCAGGGACCACACACTTCTACATGCACGCATGGACACACACACACAAGCAGGTGCACACACACACACACACACACACACCATCATACCTCATGCAGCTGAATATACAATTAATCAAGCTAATGAAAATCATCATGCCACACTTTTCCTTAACAAACAGATAGTTAATTTCCTTCTGAGAACATTATAATGACATATTTATTATATTACATATCCATGGAGTTAAATCATTCAAATTAACTTGGGCCATACCTACATTGGATACTAAGAAGTTATTATATACTGTCATAGAATCTGAGGAGCAAAGACTCATTTCAAACATAGTATGACTGGGGACAGTGCAGTATGCTGGAGCGTGATGGGTGGAAGGGGTCTTTACTTTTTCCTTCTGCAGTGACCTCATGGCCGAGTCTCTCTCCTGCTCCCTCCTCAGTCTGTCCTCCTCTTCCTCCTGCTGCCTGCCGGCAATGGCTGCCTCCAATCTGGCAACCTCCTCTTGATGGGCACGCCATTTCTTTAGCTGGACACACACACGTTAGTGCCAATCAAAGACTGCCTCTCTGGACCGAATCACGTTGCCAGATGCCCAGCTGGGTACTAGCCCCAGAGTCTGGTGTGAATGAAAAGGAAAGAGTGGTGTTGAAACAGCCCCTCACAGCACATGTTAGAATACCTCAGGACAGAACCGAGACCCAGAAAACCCTGCTCCCACACTGTAATGTAGCTATTTATGCACTATCCTGCACAACACTTATTTAATCAACAACATCCTGCCATAAGTCATGGTCTCACAGTCACACACACTCCAACAGATACCACCCACCAAGTCAGACCTGTGTAAACACACACACACTCCACATATGCAATCACTCAGACACACACACACACACACACACATAACCACACAAGCACACATAACCACACAAGCACACATACACAAGCACAAGCACAAGCACACACACACAACAATTGTTGAGGTGTGAGTGACAGGTTGGTTATGCGCCAGGGTCCCTGTGGCACGGTGTGCGCTGAAGTGTTGCAATCCAAACAGGCAGACAGATTTACAGATCCATCAACACAGAGCTTAGGAACCCCCCAAAGAGAGCCAAGCATTATTAACACAGTCAATCACACATTAGCACCAGCATCATCATCAATCCAATCAGCCTGCCTGCCTGAGAGGAACCAACAACTGGCTGCTGACTGTCTGTCTGTCTGTTTGGGGAAAGCTTAGAGAGACCCTGCCCTGCCTTAATCAAATAACATTGGGTTGTGTCTCAAATGGCACCCTATTCCATTTAGTGCACTACTTTTGAGTAGTGCACTATATAGAATAGTGCACTATAGAGAGAATAAGAAAGCAAGAAAGGCATTTCACTGTACTAGTGCACGTGACAATAAAATGTGAAACTTGGAATAGGGTGCCATTTGGGACATACACTTAGGGATGGAAAGATATGGAGGTTTATGTTTACATTAAGGCTCCTCTTGTGGGTTTAATAGAATACTTATCAGTTCTAATGCAAGACAGAGGCTCAACCTCCTAGAAGTTCTGCCCTCAGAGGAAGCAGTAGCTGTGTTTCTCATTAACCACTCACTTTACAGAACCTTTTGACCCAACTTTATTGTCACTCAACTTCAAGGTCAAATATAAGATAATGGCTGTGGGGAAATGTTGGTTGCGGCACTGTGCATACATAGAAACACATAATTAAACATAGACAAGGACATATAAATACAGGTAGAAAAAGTGCATGTGCAATCAATGACTCATCTGTACACTCTACACATCAGTACACTCTGTCAACTACAACGCCAACTGTAGGCCAGCCCGCCGCTCCTACTTGTGGTTTTAAACATCCAGGAGCCTTACTGCCCACTGGGACTTCGAAGTTGAAATTATTAAAATGACGTATCAAATAGAACAATGAAATGTTAGAATAAGATCCAATCTAATCGTCAGACTGCCCGTAGATCAGAGCTGTGGTAATTTGTCTCTCAGTCTCCAATCTGCCAGTATAGTGTCTAGTCATCCTTGTTGTGGTGAGAGAGAGAGGGAGAGGGAGAGGGAGAGGGAGAGGGAGAGAGAGAGAGAAAGTGATTGAGAGAGAGAAAGATACAGAGAAAGAGATACAGAGAGAGAGAGAGAGAGAGAGAGGGGAAAGAGAGAGAAAACAGAGAGGGAGAAAGAGACCAGAGACCAGAGAGAGACCTGACACATGATGTTAATGAGCATCCTGTGGATATTGCAGCAGCAGGTTCTGTGGGCTTCCTCGTCCAGACTGGGCTCGAATGTGTTTAGAAGCATTGCTACATGACACCCTCACATCTCATGGCTTCAAAGTAGTGACCCTGCCTGGAGCAGACAACACCAGAGTGGGAAACAAATGCTTCCTATACATGACAGAGGAGGCTGGTGGGAGAAGCTATAGGAGCATGGGCTCATTGTAATGGCTGGAATGGAATATTTGGAATGGTATCAAACACATGAAAACCACGTTTGACTCTGTTCCATTTATTCAATTCCAGCGATTACAATGAGCCCGTCCTCCTAAAGCTCCTCCCACCAGCCTCCACTGATTCATGAGTAATGGACAAAACTCTTATATGAAACTCTTAGAATATTAAGTAAAGGCCGAGCCAGAAAGGCAGAAAGGCAGAGCCAGAACGGCCTATAGAACAGGAGCCTGTAGCGTGAGGCAGCGTGATGTACTACTGGTACACCCCCTGGAAAGGACGCTACTTTGTCACAGAATACTATGAATATTATGCTGTTATTAATGACTGAGTTAGACAAAGACTTAGATATTCAAGGATTGCTGCACATTACTGTAAATTACTGTAAGAGCCAGAATGCATAGATGTAGGCTCTCTCTGTCAACATATATTACGTGTTTTGAATTTGTTATCTGTGCCGAAACAGCCGTGCAAAGTCTACTGGTGATACGAACCTACTGTACGAAAACACAGAAAATGTAGTAACTTCCCTACATTCCAAAATAATACTTATAAATACACACACTCAAAGACAATTAACTCAATGTGTTTAAAAAGTCCCCTTTGATCAATACCTATTTTGTATAGACTATTTCTCAATCTGGTAGGCTACTCTCACGGATACATTCTCTGTCTGCGTCTGTATACAAAATGGCACCCTATTCCCTACATAATGCACATCTTTTCACCAGAGCCTACCCACTGGGCACACACTCATTTCAATGAAATTGCGTTGAACCAATGTGGAATAGACGTTGTTTTGACATCTGTGCCCAGTGGGTATGGGCCCTGGTGCACTATATAGGTAATAGACTGCCATTTGGGATGTAGAATCTGTTATGTAACCAAAAAAAATCACACCAGAGAAAATCTAGGTTTTTAAAACACACACACAATTGCACCATCAATCAAGCTAGATTAGTCGGGTGCTTGATGTTGGGAGTGCAAACAACCTGGTTGAGTGTTTGTGTGTGTGTGTGTGTCTGTTTGTGTGTGTGTCTGTGTGTGTGTGTGTGTCTGTTTGTGTGTCTGTTTGTGTCTGTTTGTGTGTGTGAGTCTGTGAGTGTGTATGTGTATGTGTGTGTCTGTTTGTGTGTGTGTGTGTGTGTCTGTTTGTGTGTGTGTGTGTGTGTCTGTGAGTGTGTATGTGTGTGTCTGTTTGTGTGTGTGTGTGTGCCTGTTTGTGTGTGTCTGTTTGTGTGTGTGTGAGTCTGTATGTTTGTGTGTGTGTGTGTGTGTGTGTCTGTTTGTGTGTGTCTGTTTGTGTGTGTGTGTGTGTCTGTTTGTGTGTGTGTGTGTGTGTGTGTGTGTCTGTGTGTGTGTGTGTGCGCGCGCACATGCTCATGTTTGTGCATGCATGCGTGCAAGTGGATGTGCCTCTTTGTGTCAAGTGAGCTTTTGCCAGTCTAAGTGTTTATTCTGTCTTCTCCTGAATATGAGTATGTAAATATGAAAAATCAAACAGCACAGCGAAGTGGCCATCACAGCCACCTTAAACTAATCTTACTTCATCTTCCCCAAGCTCCTGAGAGAAAACGGAAAGCCGTGCCACAACACTGGTTGAACTGATTGGGTATGTCTTGCTTGTTTATTGCTGGTTAGAGAATGCATCTTTGAGAACACAAGAGGAATAATACGCTCATTACATACAGTCTACAACAATTCATCACTACAATCTCATTTTCTGTGCCTCGCTGCCAAGTACAAACATACTTTTTGCACATGGCAGCCTTAAAAAATGAAGACTAAATCTAGAAATGTCAGAATGATAAAAGCACAGCTACAAGCCCTCCCCAAAGTGTTTGTTAATATAATTCTAACATAGCTCCAATTTTTGCCTCTGAACACTCACTGACAGACTAACCAATGAGTGATCTGCCATTTTCCGGTCTTGCCATAGATTTTCAAGTAGATTTAAGTCCAAACTGTAACTTGGCCACTCAGTAACATCCATTGTCTTCTTGGTAAGAAACTCCAGTGCAGATTTGGCCTTGTGTTTTAGGTTATTGTCCTGCTGAAAGATTAATGAATCTCCCAGTGTGTTAGTGATCCCAGTGTCTGGTGGAAAGCAGACTGAACCAGGTTTTCCTCTAGGATTCTTCCTGTGCTTAGCTCCATTCCGTTTCTTATTTATCCTGAAAAACTCCCCAGTCCTTAACGATTACAAGCATACCCAGAACATGATGCAGCCACCACTATGCTTGGAAATACGGAGAGTACTAACACTTTGTATTCAGAACATAAAGTGAATTGCTTTGTCACAATTTTTGCAGTATTACTTTAGTGCCTTGTTGTAAATATTTTTATATTGTACAGGCTTCCTTCTTTTCACGCTGTCAAATAAGTTAGCATTGTGGAGTAACTACATTGTGGTTGATCCATCCTCAGTTTTCTCCTACCACAGCCATTAAACTCTGTAACTGTTTTAAAGTCACAATTGGCCTCATGGTGAAATCCCTGAGAGGTTTCTTTCCTCTACGGCAACTGAGTTAGGAAGGACGCCTGTATCTGTCACGACTCCCTCCGAAGCTGCCACCTCTCCTTGTTCGGGCAGGCTTGGGCGTTCGACGTCACCGGCCTTCTAGCCACTGCCGCTCCTCATTTCATCATTCCATTGGTTTTGTCTTGTTCATTACACACACCTGGTTCATATTCCCTCATCAGTACCTGTATAAGTGTTCCCTCTGCACCCTTGTCTTTGTGTGTTATTGTTTTGTTTATTGTGAGGATAGTGAAGCTCGGTGGAGCTCCTTGTATTTTGTATCGCCGGGTTATTTTCCCCATGTGCCTTGTTGGTTCCATTGCGCCTATATTGCGCACTGGACTGTTTTGACACATTACTGCGTAACTCTGTTTTCCGGAATAAATCCTGTTATTCTGTGATTTATCCTCCTGCGCCTGACTCCTTCAACTCACCTATCACAGAATCACACACCCGCCATGGAGTCAACAGGAGAGGAGCACATGCCTGGAGTCGTGGCACGGGTCCAGGGGGCATTTGACGATGCTAGCCAGCTTGGAAGAAGCGATGGATCGGGTTCTCCAGGTCGTCCAACGCCTGGAGAGGAGAGGACCCGATCTTTCGGGACCAGCTGGCCGACCAAATCAGCCCCCCACACTCCAGCACCCAGAGGGATCCATATATCCCCACCATGGGATTTCTACGGGACAGCTGCTCTCTGCCAGGGATTCCTCCTACAATAGTACAACTGGAGTTGTACTATTTGAACATCCGCCCGGCTCCATCGGAGAGGGAGAAGTTGTCTGCCCTTGCTGTCTATGGGTCTCGACAATGCCCCCGTGCACAAAGCGAGGTCCATACAGAAATGGTTTGTTGAGATCGGTGTGGAAGAACTTGACTGGCCTGCACAGAGGCCTGACCTCAACCCCATTGAACACCTCTGTGATGAATTAGAACGCCGACTGCGAGCCAGGCCTAATCGCCCAACATCAGTGCCCGACCTCACAAATGCTTGTGGGTGAATGTAGGCTCAGTAACATCAGGAAACAATGGGTATAATTAAGGGTAAGTTTACTCAGCAAGCTTAGCACTCCATCACAGCATACATCATCAGCACATGCATACTCTTCTTCTCCCTATCTGGAATCCTGTTCTCATTGTATTTCCGTTCTGTATCAGAATAGGTAGAATAAAATACCTGTATGTCTCTAGTGGTAAACTTGGGTAGTGCAGCAGAACGCAACATGGTCATCTGTTCCATATTCATCTCATAGAAATGTGCCAACTTATTCTCTATGCACCAACATGTCTTTCAAATCAAGATGGAGTAGCATCAATAAACCTACAGCTGTACAATCTGTAATGCAATAGAACAACATCTGTAGATAATAATTGATGTCTCTCTGTCCAGACATACAGTACAACATATTTGGTTTTCCCCACTCCCAGGGTATGTAAACTCAGCCTAGTTTCCTCCTCCATGCAGCCATCTGTGCTGCCTGATCCACAGCGCAGCTAGGCTAACACACCAAGGCCTGGCGTTGCACTATACACTAGCCTGGCCAGGGGGAAGACTTGTCCTTCAGAGCAGCAGTCGTCAATTTGGCCCAGAAAGCATTTACTCTGGGGCTCCTCCCACTGCACACCATAATAACCCACAGGCAAGTTGCTCAGTGGGTTATCAGTATCACTATACAGCACACAGTAATAAGCACACAGCCCAACTCCTAATGAGGCCAGCTCAACCATGAGTCCTCCCCCATCACCACCAGGTCTCCTCCAGGCTTCTTCCAGCACCACCAGGCCTCCTCCAGCACCACCAGGTCTCCTCCAGCAGCACTGGGCCTTCCTTCAGCACCATCAGGCCTTCTCCAGCAGGGTAGCTGGACTGGTCTGTGTCTGCCACCTCCAGGACCAGCAGGCCTCCAGCATCACCAGGCCTCCAGCACCACCACCAGGCCTCCTTCAGCACCACCAGGCCTCCTCCAGCACCACCAGGACTCGTCCAGCACCACCATGACTCACCTCCTCAGGCTCCAAGGGGTAGCAGGGTTGGGGTCAATTACAATTCTTGATTTCACTCATGAAGTGGAGAATTGATATGGAATTCAATTAGAATTTCAACAATCTTCAAGTTATGGAGTTGGAATTTAATTGGAATTAGACTGTTTGGACTTTTTGAATAGGAATTTAATTGTAATTGTAAAGACATTTAATCTTTGGAATTGAATTGAATTAGAATTTCATACTTTACATTTCCCAGTTAATGGAATTAATGCACATAGTATCAAACATTTACTGCAGGATTTGTTTTAAATCATTTCTACTTGTTTTTCTATATTTCCACTATAGCTAGGCTGTCTGAACAGTGACCTGATCAATTGGAATTTGTGGAATTGTTGGGGATAATATTGAATAGGATTTTCCTAACATTGGAATTTAGAGGAACTGAATTATCTCTGAATTCAAAGAATGACCTGGAATTTCAATTGAATAACATTTAATTTACAGGGACAGAGAATTTAATTAGAATTTAATTTGTGGAATTAACCCCAACCCTGAGGGGTAGGGAATCATAATGAAACTTTTACCAAAACATCCACTTAAATTATGATATAGAATACAACATTATTCGAATTTGCATGTGAATCATATTTTAAATAAACCAATATACTTATACAGTCGTGGTCAAAAGTTTTGAGAATGACACAAATATTAAGTTTTTATGATGGCAATTTGCATATACTCCAGAATGTTATGAAGAGTGATCAGATGAATTTGCCATGAAAATGAACTTAATACCAAAAAAACTTTTCCATTGCATTTCAGCCCTGCCACAAAAGGACCAGCTGACATCATGTCAGTGATTCTCTCGTTAACACAGGTGAGAGTGTTGACGAAACAAGGCTGGAGATCACTCTGTCATGCTGATTGAGTTAGAATAACAGACTGGAAGCTTTAAAAGGAGGGTGGTGCTGTAAATCATTGTTATTCCTCTGTTAACCATGGTTACCTGCAAGGAAACACGTGCCATCATCATTGCTTTGCACAAAAAGGGCTTCACAGGCAAGGATATTGCTGCTAGTAAGATTGCACCTAAATCAACCATTTATCGGATCATCAAGAACTTCAAGGAGAGAGGTTCAATTGTTGTGAAGAAGGCGTCAGGGTGCCCAAGAAAGTCCAGCAAGCGCCAGGACCGTCTCCTAAAGTTGATTCAGCTGCGGGATCGGGGCACCACCAGTGCAGAGCTTGCTCAGGAATGGCAGCAGGCAGGTGTTAGTGCATCTGCACGCACAGTGAGGCGAATACTTTTGGAGGATGGCCTGGTGTCAAGAAGGGCAGTGAGGAAGCCACTTCTCTCCAGGAAAAACATCAGGGACTGATATTCTGCAAAAGGTACAGGGATTGGACTACTGAGGACTGGGGTAAAGTCATTTTCTCTGATGAATCCCCTTTCCGATTGTTTGGGGCATCCGGAAAAAAGCTTGTCCAGAGAAGACAAGGTGAGCGCTACCATCAGTCCTGTGTCATGCCAACAGTAAAGCATCCTGAGACCATTCATGTGTGGGGTTGCTCTCAGCCAAGGGAGTGGGCTCACTCACAATTTTGCCTAAGAACACAGCCATGAATAAAGAATGGTACCAACACATCATCCGAGAGCAACTTCTCCCAACCATCCAAGAACAGTTTGGTGACGAACAATGCCTTTTCCAGCATGATGGAGCACCTTGCCATAAGGCAAAAGTGATAACTAAGTGGCTCGGGAACAAAACATCGACATTTTGGGTCCATGGCCAGGAAACTCCCCAGACCTTAATCCCATTGAGAACTTGTGGTCAATCCTCAAGAGGCGGGTGGACAAACAAAAACCCACAAATTCTGACAAACTCCAAGCATTGATTATGCAAGAATGGGCAGCCATCAGTCAGGATGTGGCCCAGAAGTTAATTGACAGCATGCCAGGGCGGATTGCAGAGGTCTTGAAAAAGAAGGGTCAACACCGCAAATATTGACTCTTTGCATAAACTTTATGTAATTGTCAATAAAAGCCTTTGACACTTATGGAATGCTTGTAATTATACTTCAGTATACCATAGTAACATCTGACAAAAATATCTCATAACACTGAAGCAGCGAACTTTGTGAAGACCAATACTTGTGTCATTCTCAAAACTTTTGACCACGACTGTACTGTGCCTGTAACAACACAGCATATCAGGCTGCTATACCAAAGCTTCAAAATAGTATGTAATGAAATAAGATAATGAAATTGCAGAAGTGGATTTCATCATGATGAATATAAATCATTGTTTATTTAGCAGAGCTACTGGAAACAGAGACACCAGCTGCAGAAACAAAGCATTTGTATTAGGCTGACAGAATGGCAAGGGGAATCCATCTTGTGCTCTGGTCGTGTCACTGTGTCAGGATGATAAAGGCCCTGAGAACTCAGGAGAGATTTGGTTGGAAGGAGACTTCCATTTGTGCTCTGACTCCACTCCAGCACAGAAATACAATATGTGACTATAACAGAACTCATATACGGTAAGGTTGGTAAAGTCTCTGATTAACTTGGCAATATTTTTGATTGAATGCACAAAGATGCATGCATTCTTTCTACCACTGCACTATGTATTCCTTCTTTGTTATTATCAGAAATAGAATTATTAGAAATACAACCTATTATCATTATGAGTTTAGTTTAAGATAGGCTACCCAGGAAAGGGTTAAAGTTAGCTCATATAAATTACTAATCTCATTAACTTTTTTTCTGAGGCTGCCTCAACATCAACTTATTTTCTTTGCATTATTCGAGGTCTGACAACACTGCATATTTTTTGTTATTTTGACCAGTTGTCATTTTCTGCAAATAAATGCTCTAAATGACAATATTTTTATTTGGAATTTGGGAGAAATGTTGTCAGTAGTTTTTATATTAAAACAAAAATGTTATTTTTACCCAAACACATACCTATAAATAGTAAAACCATAGAAACTGATAATTTTGCAGTGGTCTCTTACTTTTTTCCAGAGCTGTATACAGTACCAGTCAAAAGTTTGGACACACCTACTCATTCAAGGGTTTTTCTTTATTTTTACTATTTTCTACATTGTAGAATAATAGTGAAGACATCAAAACTATGAAATAACACACATGGAATCATGTAGTAACCCAAAAAGTGGTAAACAAATCAAATTATATTTTAGATTTTAGATTCTTCAAAGTAGCCACCCTTTGCCTTGATGACAGCTTTGCACACTCTTGGCATTCTCTTAACCAGCTTCATGAGGAATGCTTTTGCAACAGTCTTGAAGGAGTTCCCACATATGCTGAGGACTTGTTGGCTGCTTTGCCTTCACTCTGCGGTCCAACTCATCCCAAACCATCTCAATTGGGTTGAGGTCGGGGGATTGTGGAGGCCAGGTCATCTGAAGCAGCCCTCCATCACTCTCCTTCTTGGTCAAATATCCCTTACACAGCCTGGAGGTGTGTTTTGGGGTCATTGTCCTGTTGAAAAACAAATGATAGTCCCACTAAGCGCAAACCAGATTGGATGGCGTATCGCTACAGAATGCTGTGGTAGCCATGCTGATTAAGTGTGCCTTGAATTCTAAATAAATCACCAACAGTTTCACCAGCAAAGAACCCCCACACCATCACACCTCCTCCTCCATGCTTCACGGTGGGAACCACACATACAGAGATCATCCGTTCGCCTACTCTGCGTCTCACAAAGACACGGCGGTTGGAACCAAAAATCTCAAATTTGGACTCATCAGACCAAAGGACAGATTTCCACCGGTCTAATGTCCATTGCTCGTGTTTCTTGGCCCAAGCAAGTCTCTTCTTCTTATTGGTGTCCTTAGTAGTGGTTTCTTTGCAGCAATTCGACCATGAAGGCCTGATTCACGCAGTCTCCTCTGAACAGTTGATGTTGAGATGGGTCTGTTACTTGAACTCTGTGAAGCATTTACTTGGGCTGCAATCTGAGGTGCAGTTAATTGCTGATTTCTGAGCCTGGTAACTCTAATGAACTTATCCTCTGCAGTAGAGGTAACTCTGGGTCTTCCTTTCCTGTGGCGGTCCTCATGAGAGCCAGTTTCATCATAGCGCTTGATGGTTTTTGCGACTGCACTTGAAGAAACTTGAAATTTTCCGGATTGACTGACCTTCATGTCTTAAAGTAATGATAGACTGTCATTTCTCTTTGCTTATTTGAGCTGTTCTTTCCATAATATGGACTTGGTCTTTTACCAAATAGGGCTATCTTCTGTATACCAACCCTACCTTGTCACAACAGAACTGATTGGCTCAAATGCATTAAGAAGGAAAGAAATTCCACAAATTAACTTTTAACAAGGCACACCTGTTAATTGAAAGGCATTCCAGGTGACTACCTCATGAACTTGGTTGAGAGAATGCCAAGAGTGTGCAAAGTTGTCATCAAGGCAAAGGGTGGCTACTTTGAAGAATCTCAAATATAGATTTTTTTGGTTACTACATGATTCCATATGTGTTATTTCATAGTTTTGATGTCTTCACTATTATTATTGGAATTGCATAATTCCACTTTTACATTATGGTGTACTGTGTGTAGACCAGTGACACAAAAGCTCAATTTAATCGATTTAAAATTCAGGCTGTAACACAACAAAATGTGGAAAAAGCCAAGGGGTGTGAGTACTTTCTGAAGGCACTGTATAAGGCACAGGTCTATGTTATTTTCACTCTATGTAGGCCATTT